ACCTTTCACTGGGCAACAATGTGAATACTATTTTTACACAAAGTTCAAGTTCTGATGCAATTCCACAGAATCTGAACTTGAATGCAGCTTTTGTGGGTCATGGTGGTGATAATAGTCAAGTAATGGAATGTCCTAACACTTTCAAGTATAATGTTTCTGAAAATGAGCAAATTCGACCTCCTAGTGGTTCTAATCCCTTTATACTACCTTCTGGAACTGCTGGATTTTTAATGGGAGAGAATGATGGCAGATCGGGCAGTTCATTGGAGGGTCGTCGTGTATCGTGTAAAAGAAAGGCTATGGAGGGAAATATAGGACAGTCTTCTCTAAGTGGAAGTTGCAGTTACTTTCAGCATACAGACAGTGGTGGAAGGACTTCTGTTCCCGCTCACTATAATGCAGGTGGCAGCCTAAGCATATCTACCCCATCAGAACAGGGGAATTCAAGACTTGGAGTAGTTGGGAGAGCACTTGCTTCTGACAGCCTTCCTGATTCAAATGCTGGAAGAAGCTCAGAAGGCACTCATAGGAACTTCCGTGTGAGAATAAATCCTTCAAATCAGCAAAATTCTATACCCTCTAATAGGTTTCCAACGGGGAGGGCTGCTAGGCATTCTAGTATTTCCTCTTCGCATCATTCACCAAGTCTTCTTCCAGTTGATCATAATATGGACTTGAGACCAGCACCAGCGCTAGATAATACGAGTTCACAGAACCCACCAGTTGTCATCCATGTTCCTGCTTTGCCGCAAAATGTGCAATCATTGAGATGGAGTGGAGGGTCTAGCTCAAGAACTGGCAGCTTATCAAATTCTGTGGTTTTTGGAGACAGAGATGCTCCACAGCCTCCACCACTTGAGGAAGGGAGCTCAAGAAGCATGGCGAGACACATTTTGGATCATCCTATTTTTGTACCAGCAACTGAATTGAGAAATTCGGCTCGGCATCCTGCAGGTGGATCTAGTAGAAATTTAGCCGGTGGAAATGCAAGTATTCCTGGAAATGTTGCTTCAGCATCCCGGACGGGCACAAGTTCAGGTGTTAATCCAGCAGCTGCACCTACGTGGGTTCCTCCTCACAATTCTCATCCCCAATTTCCTAGAAGATTATCTGAATATGTTCGTCGATCATTATTTTCTGCTTCTGGTAGTGAGCCTGGGAGCCATGGCACTAATTATTTGCCCATGCGTTCGGGTCCTGCATCATCACCAGAGGTTGGGAGTTCATCTGGTACAGGTAACCAGGGTCATCATCAGTCTCACCCAAGGTCAGCATCTTGGATGGAGAGACATGGTGATGGTGCACTTGGGCTTCCGTATTCATTACGGACTTTGGCTGCTGCAGGTGGTGAAGGAAGTAGCAGGCTCGTATCTGAGGTGTGTTGTAGAACTCTCTTTCTCTGGCTGTGGGGTTTTTCTTTCAGAATATTTTTGTTATCCCATTATTTAAAGCATTCTGATGAATATTAGGAGAACCCAGAACCCACATTTGTGCTTAATCACCTATTTATGTGATACCATGAGGTGTCTGATATAATTATGAGCACGATGCTACGGGATATGCACTCACCTTTTCCTTTTAGTCAACCATGAAGATAATTTTTTCAGTTCTTTTGATCATTATGTTTCTATTTGTTTTTGTGTTTTTGTCATCTCCAACTATTAACATCATAATTTGTGTTATTGAAGTTTTCTGTTGCTCTAATACTTCTAAGTTTATATTATTTTGCTAGTTATGGGAAAAAAGATATTCATCTAAACTTTATGAAGTTTTCTTCTCTCTTTTTAGCAGATTTGCAATGTACTGGGTCTCATGCGTAGGGGCGAGAGCTTGCGATTCGAGGTTAGAAATTTATTTGCTTATATTGAAGCACGGCAGTGTAATCACAGTTTTGAAAAAGAATCTGTCTTGATGAAGCACAAATGCCTTACTCTCTACACAGGATTCTGGTTTTGGAAGTTTAAGCCATATATTTCTTTTACTTGTATATTTGGGGACTCAATGTTTCTGTTTTCATGTACAAGAATATCATAACAAAAGGCTGTTAAGAGATGTGAGAATTTTCTTTTTGAATTGTGGTCTGACATTTGGTTGTACTTCTTTGTGTCAGGATGTTATGATTCTTGATCAGTCGGTCCTTTTTGGGGTGGCTGATATTCACGACCGACATAGAGACATGCGACTTGATGTTGATAACATGTCTTATGAGGTAATTGATCTGCCCTGCCCAACCCTCCCGCTTGCCCAGAAGATACATAACAGTGTGCTCCCTTATTGGTATAACTGAGATTACTGAGACATAAAACTCTCTGATTAATTCAGGAATTATTGGCTCTGGAAGAGCGTATTGGAAACGTGAACACTGGATTAAGTGAAGAAACCATTTCAAAGCGCTTGAAACATAAGAAGTATGTTGCAGTAGGATCTCCGGCAGATACAGAGCCATGCTGCGTGTGCCAGGTATTGACTGCATAATGCTCAATCTGTGTTACAGTTTCATGTTTTTGCGTTGCGTGATTTATTTATACCATTATATGCAGGAGGAATACAATGGTGGAGAAGATCTTGGAACGCTCGGATGCGGACATGATTTCCACAGCGAGTGCATAAAACAATGGCTGATGCACAAGAATTTGTGCCCCATCTGTAAAACTACAGCCTTGGCAGCATGAGGTCGACGACGTCAAATGTTTTTGCAGGCTAGCTTTTCTTCAAATCAGGTAAAGAGGGTTGCTTATGGACTCAGTCTGCCTACATATGGGCTCACTGAATCCCAATGCCTCAAATCCTTCACCTTTCCGTGGCAGTCGAGTTGAAGTTGGTCGAAAGCACTACTTCAAGCGCCGAGCGGCAAATTACATAATTATTTTTCATTTTATTTAAAACCAGGCCTCTTATTGGAGGCACCACATTTCGAAGTTGGAAAAGCACAACTGGTACTGACTTTTCACTTTATCAATGAATGATTAGGCTTTTATGTTTTTGTTATGGTTTGATTCCTTTTTTAGCTGCAGATTTTTCGTTATACCTAGAGATTTCGTGATCTCGAATTCCTTTTCTGAGGGCTTGATAGAAAACTGAACCAGTACTAGGATTTTGTTTCTGTTTTGGTTTTCTTTGCAATTCCATGGTGCTGCAGCATAGGATTGTTCAAAGGTTTCTTTGTTCAAACTATGCCAATGCAGACATGTCTTAGATCTTAGCCTTTATTTAATGGCCTCCCATTTTGATATTTTTGCGTAAAAAGTTAGTTAGGCTCATCTTTCGGTCATACGTGCAAATAATCATGGGCTTGTTTGAGACTATTTGTAGGAACCACTTCTGCTCGTACGTGCCTTTGCTATAAAGTGTTTTTAGTAGCAATCCAAGTGTGTTTCATTTGAGACTATTTTAAAACTCTTTGGTAGAAATCACTTATCCTCATTAGTGCTTTTGCTAGAACTGCTTTCAGTGTAAACAAGTCCAATTTTATAAGAAAACCAAGTGCTTCTTGACAAAGTACTTGGAAGTGACATTACTAGATGCTTCAGGAAGTTCTTTTACGACTAAGAAGTGATTCAAAGGTTTTTTTGCCATTTAGAAGCGCTTTTAGTTGTGAGAAAACACTTTTAAGCCTACTAGAATTCTAGAATCAATTTCAAACTTGCCCTAATGCGTTCAAAGTGTAATGGAAGTTTAGCGGTGAGCTAGTTGTCGGTTCCCGCCCAACCGTGTTGGCTTTGCCGGTCCCCTTGCAACGATCAGCAGGTCTATAATTAGATTGACACCTGTTTGGATCAACGTATCATTCTCATCGTAGGAACTTCACATCAATCAAGCAAGATCTCGAAAAAGCGGAGCTGTAATCGAGTTCATGAATCAAGATGTTGAAATCATTCACAACTCCACAGGTTAATATAATCATTTTGATGTTTGATCGTGGTTGGGAACCTTTGGATCCGATTAAATTGCAGAACAAGAAACGTGGGATGCGCCCTAGAATTTTCATCCTTCCTCTTTCCTTGTGAGTTTCTCTTAGGTCACTTTTTAGGGCGTGTTGGGCAAACCCTAGGTAGCACCAGAACACGCCACTGAAAAGGGTGGGAACCTCGGGAATTGCACCTTTTGGTGTCCCCTTATTAAATTCTAGTTGCAGGCAAAGGTGACGTTTTTGGTTGGATTAGATGGTGGAGGAGTTTGGAGTGCATGATGTGTTTGACTTTAACCTATTCAGACGTTGAACAATGCACATTTACTCTTTTGTACAATCTCTAGGGTTTAATTGCAAACTTGGCCCCTGAGTTTTTAGGGTCTTTTCACTTTGGTCTTTCAAATATTTTGCATCCCAAGATAGCGGCTTCAATTATTGAGGTAGTCACGTTTAAATATGACCGATCAGGTTTAGTCCTACTTGCTTCATACTTGAAACAACATCGACTTGGAAAGAGTTGAAGAGTTATTCATAGTGCCAATAACAATTCTCTAGTTTGATTACATATTTGAAAAACTAATTAGCAGCTTAAAAGAAAATCGATCCATTTAGGACTCTTTATACCTCTTCTTTGCAACTATGCTTTTCTCGTGGTTTAAGGCAAATGACACAGTCATCAAAGGTTGTCAGTATTGAAAATTGCAGAAACTTATAAGTTTGTGTGGCATTGGCCGACATACAAGTCAATTCACACCTAACACTAGACTAGACATGAATCATCTATGTCATCTTATGTTAATTTTTGTGATTAGGCCTCACTTTCATCCTCTTAAATTGGGATTTTAAATTTTGAAAACTAGAGTGAAACAACCCAACAAATTTGAGCTTATGACCCGATGTGGTAAATAACAGAAAACTAGGGGCGGGGGTCTGCAATATGCATAAAACAATGGGAAGGTCTACAAATTTATAAAATAAGTGGAAATTTCTGCGAATGATGACGTAAACATCTAACGGAGCACTTGACAATTAGCGCGGGAGAGTAATCAAATTGCAAGCTTTACGGCTTTAAACCTTCTTTTAAAAGAGTTTTATGGAAAATGCCAATGACAGAATCACAGCACAGAACAAGAAGAGAGAGAAACAAAGAGGAGAGAGAGAGGCAGAGCAGCGACGGAGAATTGGGAACGATGCTAACAACGAACTAGAGAGTTCACCGTCTCCGGCTGAGCAGCGACGGCTCTGACGGCTGTAAAACTGTTTCAATTGTTTCTCGTCCTCTGAAGTTTTCATATTTTTAATTATGGCGGATCTGTACGGAACAGCGCCGGACTCGGAAGAAATCTCGAACATTCTAAGCCAGCTCATCCACGGCCATGGCTCCTCCGCTTCCTCCGCCTCTTCTTGCATGCCCTTTAAACCCACTTACATGCATTCGTCAGTGCCGCCACCAATCCAGGCGGCGACGCCGTCCGAGGTCTTGATTCCGGAGGCCAGGCATGAGGATCATCGTCGGTTTGCTCAATTGGTGAACCGTTCTGGCACGGACCAGCGAGTAGCGGGGGGGAATTCGAACTCTGCTGGTGTGTTGGATTCGTCGACCGCTTTCGATTTCTACGATTCCGGTGGCTACTTCACGAAGGAGGTGAAAGAAGGTATGGAGTCTGACGGGAGGAGGATTTCGTCTGAGAATGATCTCGGCGGTTATAGCTGTGACAGTGAGGTACTTCCCATTTTTCACTTTTTGAATTCTGTTTGGTTGCTGAGAAAATTAGGTGGAAAATTTGAATAAATCTGCTTAAAAAAACGAAAAGTATAGAATTTTTGTTGTGTTAATTCTGTTTGTATCAGTTTGTTCAACAATAATTGCGTGGAAATTTGAAATCTTTGGGGGGTTTTGGTGGAATTAGAAGGATCTCGAGGAGGCGGCGGATGGGCAACTGAACTCAGCGCCGCCGCGGAGTTCATCGAAGAGGAGCAGAGCTGCTGAGGTCCATAATATGTCGGAAAAGGTTCGATCTTTTTTCCTTGTGCGTAAAGGTTTTCGATTCGAGTATGTGACAAATGTGAATTTGATTTGTGGGTTGTAATTTTGAATTTTTGATTGGTGGACAGAGAAGGAGGAGTAGGATTAATGAAAAGATGAAAGCTTTGCAGAACCTGATTCCGAATTCTAACAAGGTACTCTTTATCCAAAAATTTCTGCAGCCTTTTTGTGCTTTCTTTTTCAAGTAATTTTATTAGTCTTTGTTTTTTTGGTTAACAAATAGAAGAGGATTAGGCGAGATTTGCTACATAGTAACAGTCGATATTTGATCTTGTGCTTTTTTTAGACGGATAAGGCGTCAATGCTGGATGAAGTGATTGAATATTTGAAGCAGCTCCAGCTTCAAGTACAGGTGAGATGGTTTTCACTGTTTTCGGAATATAATCCTGATAAAAGCATTTGCTTTTGTAATCCTTTCGAAGATCACTAGATCAGTCGTCTTGACTTGGATCGATCGTTAGCTATGCACTTGATATTCTGTTGTCCAAGTTCAATGTGGATTCTATTGACTGCTAGCCTTGCTGCTTGAAGCGGCAACTAGATGCGAATCTGATTCTCGCCATGCTTAACAAGCCTGACAAAACTCAAGGACAAATTATAGAAATGTTGCTACACATGTTGGGATTATCGAAAATTTTCATACAAAATTTTGAGAGTAGTAGATAGGGAGCCCATATCACATGCCATGTGGTATGCATTGTTATAATAGCATTGTTCTGGCTTCATTGTTTGACACCAAAAAGTGTTGCTTTAATTAATTGAAGAACCTATTAAACACATACCAGTTTGCCAGCCTCTTGAAAGCTGTAGTGACTTGGTTGTCTTTCATCCGTGATCTGATGTCATATGAAACATGATGTTTTTCCATGGCCTAGACCAGCTTTTCTCTTACGGTCTTACTATGTGCTTTATGAAGTAGCGTTATATTTTGTTCTTTGTCTCTGGGCATTTATTGAAGGTGAATTAACAGTCTGATATTATGTATTGCTCTTGTCATGAGCCAAACTTAGTGAGATCTACGTCCTCTGATGCACAATTTTGGTTTCTAGACAAATCATCAAATTGCAAAGGAGGGCAAAGTTTGTTAATTGACATCTAACTGAAATTGGGTTTTCATGGAAAGATTTCGGGTGTACTGCATATTCATTTTTTGGGGGGGACATTATATGACTCACAACTAAATAGGTTGTGTCTTTTGTACGAAGCCACTACCTGAAGTAACCTTGTTTTTCATTTTGAAGCTGACATACATTTTGTTTCTGGTTATATTTTCAGATGTTAACAATGAGGAATGGATTGAGTTTGCATCCGATGTGTTTACCAGGAGTCATGCAGCCTATGCAGTTGCCTCATATATTTGAAGAAGGAAGTAATAAATTTCCAAAATCTGGCAAAGGAATAAGCCCTTTTTACGGGACTCATGAGAACTCGGTGCTGTCTGCTTTTAATTTATCCGCTGGATGCATGATATCAAATCCGCCAATGGTTTTACCCTCGGTTGCAAATGTAGCAACTTCAGAAGCCACATTTGGTTTTGAACCATCGATTCAAGCTCACTACAGACCCTTCAGTGTCCCCTCCTCCTCTAAGGTAACTCTAGCATGAATTATGGAAGTAACTTAAAAATTTTCGAGAACTAATGCGGATCGTTTTCTTGCTCCGTGAAGGAACTCTTTAGCGACGGTGAACCACAATCAAAATTACACACCATTCGGACAGGGAAAAGCACTTCGTCGGACGTTGATGTATGAGATTGCAGCCTGCTTTCATACCGTTCTTTTTCTTCAACCAACCAAGAGACTATCATCGTCTTCGAAACTGCTGACTTCTTCACATACCTTGATTAATATTTTGCTAAGTGTAACAGGTTGACGCGATTGTCGGATTTCTACTGTTGATGCTTCATAGCTTGTAGTTATATAAAAATACTTGTACCAGTCTTGGTATTCTCGATTTATAAAGCCATGGTTTTTTCGAGCTTTAGATTAATGTCTCAATTGCTGTCCTTCATGATAAGAAACAAACATTTTCTAGCATGCACAGACATGGCCCCTCTCAATTTTTTTGGTTGGAAATGATTTGACAAAATTACCCAATGTAGATGTTCTTCAATTTTTTTACAAGACATTTGAGTTCAACAAAAGCTAAACATCGACATCTCTTCAATGTAATTGTCACTCAATTCTTGTCCATGACCACCAAGAGGCAGATATCAGAGTTGGTTATGACACCTTCCTCCCAATTGTACGTCTTACATAGAGAGCTCCCGACCCTATGATACATGATTTAACTCTTTGTTTTACTGACTATAGCAATATTGACATAAAATACAATTAAAAGGCACTAAAAGACGGGGATGTGCGCTAAGCATACGATAGAGGGTTCGGCCAAGTGCTCAACAAAATGCTTAATCAAAAAACCTAAAGATTTTTTTTTGGCAATGCACTCATTATTGTTGAGATGCAACGAGGATTAAGTTTCACATCCTCTACTACTTAGTTGTATTTTCGATAAACTAACTTACTAGTTTCGCCACTAATATAAAGTATGTAATGAGATTTTTGTCTTGCACATTTAGCACTCCACTTATTTTGCGTATACTCTATACCGGAGTATAGTAAAATTGTCGTGTCAAAAGTAAATCTCATTTATGCACAGTGGCTTTTAAGTAATAGCAGGAATGCCTTTGAAATGAGGACAAGAGAGATGAGCAGGCGATAGCGTTACAGGGAAGAAGAAACGTTTCCTTTTGACTCATTCTGGGCAACGAGACAACGTAATATTGTATGGAAAGCATGGGATGCTATGGCCGCCGTTTCGGTGTCAGAAGTTTCTTTTCTTTTGATAAACATCATAACGGCCGTTAAATGCATTTCGCAATCAATTCGTCCTCCAACTTCACTTCAATTTACCAACATGCCATGAATCCACGATACATTTCTTGGTTGTTTTGGGGCCAAACAGAAGTGACCGTAGTATGACAAACACAAATTTAGAAGGTAGCTTACTTGATCATTGTTTCTCTTATTATGCTTAGTCTAATGATATATTTCTTTTAATGTTTAAAGAGGTTATAAGTTCGAATCGTTACTTGAAAAGAAAAACTAAAATTTAGAATTTGAGCTTTTTAGTTATGGAGCAAGTATTTGTTGCCAGTACGTTATAAATAATATATTGATATCATTGTCTTAGACAAATCATACATACATATTATCAATACCCTTTCGATAATAACAACGAACTGCATTAATGTTTTGAAGATCAATTTTGCTTTAAATCAGTATTTTCTATGAGAAAGATTTAATCTTGAGTGCATAAGAGAGAACACATCAACTCTAATTAATGTAGCTACGTACGCCCATTAACATTAAGAGTCTCGTTTTCTTGGTCAGCTAGTGACCAAATATTTACGTACTACTAGTTGCGTTAAATCAAATATTCTAAGAGGGATGGTGTGATTCGGTAATAAAAATGGGCGAAGGAGGGTGAAAGAGTAAAGGTCCGGAGAAGTCGTTTTCGAAGGATGGAAAACGCGCCTTAATCTGCCTTGCGTTATTTTGTTTGGACTCCAAATAACAGCATTCGTCTCATGATTGTATTTTGTTGTCTATTCAAAAGCCCGCCACCTTTCGTCGCCTTCCTCATCTTTCTGAAAACGTCCCACTGAAGCTCTTAACCAAATCCCTCTCTCTCTCTCTCTCTCTCTCTCCCCCCCCCCCTATATGCTATATAATCCCTATATAAAAAATATATTTTATTCATACAAAATTACCCATGTCCTGCTTCGAAAAAACCTATCTGGGCTTTTGCCAATTCAAACTCAAATTCCAATTCAAGAACTTGCAGTGGTGGTGGTGGTGGTAGCGGTAGCGGTAGCGGTGAGTTGTTAAAGCTGGAAAAGGTGAGCTCCAGTTGCCACACACCTACAAATACAATGGAGCAGAAAGAGGTAGTGATAAAAGAAAGCAATGGCAAGGTTGGTGGCCGTGATTGTGATGGCGGGGGCGATGAATCGGATCATGGGGTACACACTTGGACTGAGAGGGGGAGACGGAAGAAGATGAGGAGTATGTTCTCCAACCTTCATGCTTTGCTTCCTCAGCTTCCTGCAAAGGTATAAATTAATTAAACTACAATTTCAATATGTTTCACGAAGATTAAGCGTCTAAGGAAAATCCTCATGGACTTAATTGTTATTGTACCCGACTGTTATTACACTTTTGGTGTTTTTTTGAGTGTTTATCGCTGACATTATCACTTGTATTTGTGCACATACTGTATATTTTGATCTGTGCCTAAAGAGAGTAACCTAAAACAACCATATATACAATAACAAAGCTTTATCTCATTAAGTGAGGTCGAATGTATAAATCATATAACGTCATTACGCTCGGTTAAACATTTTATCAAAACTTCGATAATCATTTGGGTTGTAAATCCCGATGGATTACAATATTAAGAACAACAAGAAGTTAAAAGATAATACATGCTGTTATTTTCCAATGATGTGCAGGCAGATAAGTCCACCATTGTTGATGAGGCAATAAGATACATCAAATCCCTTGAGCACACTCTCCAAACAACACAAACACAAGGGCTTGACAAATTTTCTGCATTGACAGTATCAAACACAGAGTTAACTTGTGATACAAGGGAAGCATTTTTGGCTGATCATTTTCATCAGGGTCCACCAACATCAAACAACTTGGCATTGCCGGCTTCTCTTTTTCCGCCTCCCGCTTCCTTCCAGACGTGGTTTTCCCCAAACTTTGTCATGAACATGAGCGGCAACGATGCTCAGATCAGCGTTTGCTCACCACCAAAGCCAGGGCTCTTGACAACTATGTTTTACATACTAGAGAAGCATAAGCTGGATGTAGTATCTGCTCACGTATCCTCGGATCGATGTCATTGCATGTACATGATCCATGCTCATGTAAGTAGACTAAGAATCCATATGATCACTTAGCATTCATTAGCAGGCCAAATTATCATTAGTTAATCTGCTGTCTAATTATGCTTTTTGTTTTAACTTGTTTTTCGTTATGTGCCGGTCAGGCGGGTGGAGCTTGCGATAATTTTCCAGAGGCATTATCAGTGGAGTACATATTCAAACTAGCAGCAGGTGAAATGAACTTGTGGCTCTTGTCATGTTGATTAAATGTACTTGATAGCGTGATTACCACCTTGCTAGAAGTAGAACTAGAAGAAGCTAGGAAAATTGAGCTTTTAGTAGAAGTGCTTTTAGGAAGGTGTTGTGGAGTGGATACTATATGTGCCTACTGGTGGCCTGTAAAATTGAGCTTTTCCTTTGAACTTTGCTTGCAACTTCTTCAGTTCTCCTTGAGTTAGCTCAGTAATTCTGGATGAATCTTGCTGGTGTTTCTACTTTCTAGGCCAGTAAGCCCAATGGGCTATACTAAAAGCTAATTGAATTGGGTTGGGCTGAAATTTCCGCTTATTTTTTAACCGTTACAATTACAACTATTTTTGGAGCATTAGTTTAGGAGTGTTTTGTACACTGAAACATTTATGTTCATAAGCACTTTATTAGAAACACAATATAAATTTTACTAAACTTTCAAATGTTTCCTTAAATCTCAACAAACATTTCACCAAAAATTTCAGTGCTTTTAAACCCATAAGCACGTGTACTTATCTTGTCAGAACATATAAAAACATTTAGTGATTTGAAAGTGCTTTTAACTCTTCTGCGAGTTGATTAAGTTTGGATATTATAATGAAGCCAATATTTACTAGATCTAACATTTGTGTTGTGTTTTCTATGTTTTTGTCTTTTTCATGTCATACCCGATTATTTACCATTCTAAAACTAATACTAGACATGTTTCATGCCTTGAGGCAATGAGGACATTGAGGAGATGATATGCCCCATTCACATGGCTAGTACACTGTCGAGTCACATTATCATGTCTGCTTTTCTTTGATTTTACTCTTTTGTTTTATGGGTTTGTTCATAAAAAGGTGACCCAAAAAAAGTGTGTTTCTTATTTTCGTCCAAACCTAAATTTGATGTCCAAATGGAGCATGTAAAATATTAGCAAATGTTAACAGTGATCTCGGAGTACGACATAAAACCACCCTTTGTGCAAACGCTTTGATTGTGACTCGATTTAAACAGCATGCTTTTAATCGTAGATGCATGTTAAGCCAATTGATTAGGAACTTGTGTAAGTCTCTTTGCATCCAAATTAAATTTTCTTCTAATAAATAAAGTAGGTCAAAATATATTGTTATGTAAAAGAGAACATGCAAATAATTCACTTTAAGCCTATATATCTAACATCTCTCCGTACCAAATTATCTTTGAAATATGCCGCGTGAGTACACTAATAAGTTTTTTGACGAATTAAAACAGCTAGTGATCATATTGATGCACACAAGCAAACATTGAGAACGACAATGATTGATTTAAAACTTGAGAAACATAATTGATGAAGGGTAGTCCTGTCCACACACTCATTTTTACTTTTCACACACTCTTTTTAGTTCATAACCGTCGAATTAAATAAATTGAAGAAGATCAATGACACAAAAATTAACAAACGTGTATGAGGATAAAAATGAGTTTACGAACAATACTATCTTTCATGAATATTCCAAAAAGGTCACGTGATAAAAATCGTAATAGTCAAATTTGGTGTGAAAATGAGAGCTTCTATTAGTTTTGCTAGCAAACGGCCTCGCTGGTTTTGAAGTCCACCTACACAAGTGTCCAGTTCTTTGTGGGCCCAATGAAAGCGGCCCATTTGATGTTAACCCTCTTAATAATCCCCTTCCCAAAATTCTAATCAATCTCAACCCTAATCCTAATCTATCCTAATCACAATTATAATCTATCTGAGGATCAATTAAAATATCATTCCACAACATCGGAATAAAATAATAAAAAAACAATTAAAAGATTTAATAATAAAGAATCCAATTCTGACTGTCGCACTTAAACATAACCGGAATCTTTGAAATTTGAATAGCGAGCATTATATTCTATGAAGAAATAAAGTCAATAGCCCTCAACTAAAGTAATCATATCTTAATTGAATTAATTTGTAGTAATTAATGACAAAGTTAAGAGAGTGTGTGTATCTAAGTGTAGCACTATGACCAAAAATGAAATAAAATAGATATGAATAGTCTTTTAAACTCTTATACTAAGAGAACACTACCAGTGAAATCAGCAACTGACACTTATACTGAAAGATCAAAGTTAGAGGAGCAAATGAGATTAGATGCATCAATAGCCCTAGCCGTAAATAATGCAAACGGTAGTGGCTTCAACATATTGTTTTTTATCTTGTGCAGACTCCTTGTTAATCTTAACCGTTGTTTTTACTTTAATAGTTAATTTAACACCAACAAAACTAAAGGAGTGTGTATAAGATAAAAAGAGGTGTGTGAAAAGTATTACCTTCATGCAAATTAACGTTGTATGTATCAATTGTGCAATGACATAGCTAATATGTTAAGTATCTCATACGAATAGTCCACTAGTAGGAATGAAATTCAACGAAATTAACAAGCCTAACACAAGTGACGTATCATGTGATTTAACTCGAGAGAAGTGAATCCTGCACACCTTTCTTCTTCTTTGATCAATTTTTTTTTTTGATAACATTTAGACTAAATAATAAAAGAATATTAAGTGGACAACAATAATTCTGAGTGCACAAATAGGCAAGAAGAGTGTAATGCACGGGATCACGTGCACAACAATTAAGTGTCGAAAAACGATTGATTCTAGCATTTTTCTCATAATTAAGCAAAGTTAATGTGTAAATCTACATTTATTACCATATTTTTGCTATGGTAGGAACAAAGTATCTATAGTCAAATTAAAAAAAAAAACTAATGAAAATGATTTGAAAACTTTGAGTTTTAACGATAAAGATAAAATAAAGAGTAAAGTGAATAGTATCAAAATTGACTTTTTAATGTAAAAATATAATTTTTCGTTAAAATAAATAGTACAGAAGTTTTTCGTTGAAGTTTCCAAAATTAAATGCGTGTGCATTTAGACATTACATATTCTGGACGAAATAAAAATAGGATAAAAATATAACATTTTACACTTGTAAATGCATAAATAAAGGCATACAGTAGAAGCAGCAGCAGCAGCAGCAGCTTGTGGAGCATTTTCATCATCTGGTTCATGCGTCTCTCTCCGCACTTTCTCTCTCCGCACTTTCTCTCTCATCCCCCACTCGCACTGAGCTGAGCTCACCACCCGAGCTTCTCAATTTCCCCATTTGTAGAGTCCCCACAGTCTCTCTGTCTCCTCTCCTTCTTTCTCTGCTTTCTTCTTCTTCTTCTTCTGTGAGGAAGGAGGAGGAGTGGAATTAGAGTCTACAATGTCGGGCTACTCGTTTCTGAACGACCAGCTCTCGAAGAGGACCTCCATTTTCGGTTTGCATTTGTGGGTAGTTTTGGGAATTTGCGTCGGAGCCGCCATTGTTCTCGTCCTCTTCCTCATCTCTCTCTGGTTCACTTCCCGCCGCAACAGCGCCTCCTCAAAAGCCAAGACCTTTACCCACCACTCCTCCACTATCCCAAACGTCTCCAAAGAGATCCAAGAAATCAGAATTGACCACGCCCGGAACCACCCATCGCAACCCGACCCGAAACCCACCAACCACCAGAGTCACCCCGACCCGGTTGCCGACTCTGACTCCTCCGGGGCCAGACCACAACCCCTGCTTCTTCAGCAGGACGATCACCACGAAAGCCCGGCTGGGAGCGCCGGCCGGCAGAGAATTCACATTGAGATTGGGAAGGACCACCGGATTTCGTACCCGGAGAAGGGCGGCGGGTCGTCTCATGGCAGCGGCGAGGTTCGGTCTGGGGACCAGGGGATGATCGCCGCGCCGGAGGTTTCACATTTGGGGTGGGGCCATTGGTACACTCTCAGAGAGCTTGAGGATTCCACTAATGGGTTTGCCGACGAGAATGTGATTGGTGAAGGCGGCTATGGAATTGTTTACCGCGGTGTTTTGGAGGATAATACGATTGTTGCTGTAAAAAATCTGCTTAATAACAAGTATGTAGTTACGGTTTTGTAAATTTAATTTTTGATATGTGCTTAATGTCATACTAATTATGGTCAGTTTGAGATTATAATCATGTTGAAAGTGAACTAAGTTGGGAAATCTGAGAGCTTTATCTTGTCGAGTTAGTTAAATCTGTTAGATTTTCATGGATTTTGGGAAAATATATATTTTTGTTCCAACTGCTGCATGAACTTTGTATTGGGGAATTCGGCGTGAGGAAGCTTGATGATTTTACTTTTCTTGGTTCAGGGGACAAGCCGAGAAGGAGTTTAAGGTCGAAGTTGAAGCGATTGGCCGTGTTCGCCATAAGAATTTAGTGAGGTTGCTTGGTTATTGTGCTGAAGGAGCTCATAGGTAATTTATCTTCATTTGTTATATCGTGTATCCTTTTGCGTTTTGATCTTTGGTTTAATGCATGACCTTCTCTTGAATCCTTGATGGCTAATTCGTTAAGAATCTTTGTGATTATTTCTTCTTTTTGGATTAACTATAATATCCTTTCCTTATGATTGCGCTAATGCAGTAGGGTTTTTGTAGAATGCTTGTATATGAGTATGTTGACAATGGAAATTTGGAACAATGGCTTCATGGTGATGTTGGGCCTACAAGTCCTCTTGTGTGGGAGAGTCGTATGAATATAATACTCGGGACAGCAAAAGGGTATTCCTTGTATTAAATGACCGTAGTTATTTCAATTCTCCGTGGTTTACCATAACATAAACTCTGCCAACATTATAGGTTGACTTACTTGCATGAGGGGCTTGAGCCAAAGGTCGTTCACCGTGATATTAAGTCTAGCAACATCTTACTTGATAAGCAGTGGAATTCAAAAGTATCCGACTTTGGCTTAGCAAAGCTCCTTGGCTCAGAAAGGAGTTACGTGACAACTCGAGTGATGGGAACATTCGGGTGAGTTTAACCTCTCTACGTAACTGTTATTTGCTTCCTAGCTAGAGAGTGGAGAGTTATGATCTTGTTCTTGCACACTTGAATCACACATTCGGTTTTGCTTTGTAGATATGTAGCTCCAGAATATGCCAGTACTGGTATGTTGAATGAAAGAAGTGATGTGTATAGTTTTGGAATTCTCATAATGGAGATAATTTCTGGGAGAAACCCAGTGGACTACAGCCGCGCTCCAGGAGAGGTTTGTTTTCATGATCTTCACTTGATAATACATTGTCTTCCAACCAGAATAACTGTTACTGCTTGGTGATCAAACTTCAGGTGAATCTAGTTGAGTGGCTTAAAGCAATGGTTACAAATCGGAATGCTGAGGGAGTTTTGGATCCTAGGTTACCAGAGAAGCCTTCTTCCAGAGCACTGAAGCGTGCTCTTTTGGTTGCATTGCGTTGTGTGGACCCAAATGCTCAGAAGAGGCCTAAAATGGGGCATGTGGTACATATGCTTGAGGCCGATGAGTTCCCTTTCCGAGATGTAAGTTGCATTCATTTCTTCCCCTCATAAATCTTTCCAGCTGGATGTCTGTTTCCTAGCTGGTTTACAATGCTACACCTTGTTTGAAACTGCTTTCTACGTGTTTCCTTATTTGTCTTCATAGACTTGCATTCTACATCATGAAGGATTGGCGTGATATTTAGATTTCACATTATTTGCTAACACTTGATGCATGTCTTTTACCTTGATCTGGTGTTGCAATACATTGTCAATTTGGTCTAATGTGCAAATCTTTGAGATAAATAATTGGAGTTCCCTAAAACTAGTGTATTTCATGAACTTCTCAGTCACTTATTGCACCGTGCATGTAAGCAACTTATGTTACACTAGATTACTACGAACTAATAAGTGTAGGTTTCACATTAACTTTTTGTCTGCAAATTGGTGCAATTTCTACGTAAAAGTTTTCTTATGGCAAATGAGGTTTCTATCCCTGTTCTTTTTTTTTTTTTTTTTTTTTTTTTTTTAACATGAAAGCACGTAAAACAAAGTTCTACATCTACCTGCATGGATTTGAGTTTCTCATCTAGGATTATTTTTGGGCAAATAATTTCAGGAGCGCAGGGCTGGAAGAGAACATGGACGCTCACCGCTTGATGCTGGAAGGATGGACAAGCGTGTGATTGAATCAGGTGATAGTAGCGGGTATGAGAGTAGTGCCCAAACTAACATGTCGTTATGGAGAAAGCAAGAAGTTGAAGAAGAGCATTAGCCCCTCACCAGCCACCAGTTTCATGTGTGAGGTGAATTGACGCACCTCGTTTTGGCCCTATGCCTCTGTCTAGGTGATATGTTAAATTATCTGTTATTTATTTCCCTGTATAGCCCCATTCACGTCAATACGAGCTTGCACTTCGGTGGATTCTCTAGCATTTTGTTGCCTCCTCTCAATGTAAGTTGAATAACCAGAACACTGTTTTTCATTCCACCGTCTTTGTTATGGTAATTCAGTTTTCGGAAATAGTAAATCTCTCGTCTTTATTAAAGTCTCATTGTATAAAGTTTGTCCCTTGACTGTCTTTCCGCTCTGTTAGGTAAGTTGTAAGTGTTGAAGTTAAGAACTCAGAGAGGAAAGTTTAGTAAAGAGAGAGAAAGAGAATTGTAGAGAGAGAGTAAAAAATATATCAATGATTCTCATTTATTCAACAAACCAGTACAATGGTATTTATACATAAATATCCTATCCCAACCTATGTGCCAGCTCAGCATAATATATCTAACTAATCACAGACATTCCAAGCTTAACAGAACCAAGGAAATGAAACTAATCTGGTGATGGTTGTGATGTACAGCTATTACTCTTAACACACCCCCTCAAGCTGATGGAAGGAGAGCGAACGGAGAGCTTGTAAGTAAGAGCAGCAAATCGATCAACAGCTAAAGGCTTGGTAAAAATGTCTGCAATTTGGAGAAGAGAAGCAACATGTTGAACACCAATATGACCAAGTAAAACCTTCTCTCGAATATAGTGATAGTCAATTTCAACATGCTTAGTGCGAGCATGAAAAACGGGATTGAAAGCAAGAGCAATGGCACTGTTGTTATCACAGTAGATGACTGGTTTTTGTAACAGAGGGAAGGATATGTCGTGCAGAATCTTGCACACCCATGTAAGCTCAGCAGCAGTATGAGCAAGAGACCTGTACTCAGCCTCGGTGGAAGACCGAGCCACTGTGGCTTGTTTCTTAGCACTCCAGGAGATGAGATTAGAGCCTAAGAACACACAATACCCACTAGTGGACCTTCTATCCACAGGGCAACCTGCCCAATCTGCATCAGACCAAGCAGTGAGAAACTGAGGACCTTTAGTAAACCAAAGACCTGAATCCACAGTGCCCTTGAGGTATCGCAGTATGCGTTTGACTGCTTGCAAGTGAATAGTTCGTGGAGAGTGCATATATTGACAAACCTGATTAACAGCAAAGGCTAAATCAGGCCGGGTCCAAGTAAGATATTGTAAGGCACCAACTGTGGACCTATAAGAGGTGGGATCAGAGAGAAGAGTGCCAGAATGGTCGAGCTTGGCAGTAGACACGGGTGTGGCACAAGGTTTAGCTCCAAGCATATCTGTCTTCTTGAGTAAGTCTAAAGCATACTTAGTCTGATGCAACAACAAACCCTTGGCAGATTTGTGGACTTCAATACCCAAAAAATAGTGGATATCTCCCAGATCCTTCACAGGGAACATGAGTTGAAGGTTGGAAATGATTGATTGGCACGTAGTAGAAGAACTGCCAGTGATGATTATATCATCAACATAAACCAAGATAAAAGTAATGGAAGTGTCTCTTTTAATAAAAAGACTAGGATCAGAGTGGGAAGGACCGAACCCTAAAGAGAGAAGAGCAGTGTAGAAGGCCTCATACCAAGCTCTAGGGGCCTGTTTAAGACCATAGAGAGATTTCCGAAGTTTACACACATGATGAGGTTTGGAAGGATCCACAAAACCAGGAGGTTGGATCATATAAACATCTTCTTTTAAGTGACCATGAAGAAACGCATTACTTACATCCAATTGATGGACAAACCAATCATAGGTGACTGCAATAGAGAGGAGGATTCGGATGGTAGTAGGTTTAGCAACAGGACTAAAGGTATCTGAGAAATCCAAGCCTTCCTGTTGATGAAAACCTTTAGCCACAAGACGGGCTTTGTACCTTTCAATGGTACCATCAGGTTTGTGCTTGACTTTGAAGACCCACTTGCATCCTACAAGGTTGTAGTTGGAATTATGAGGAACTAACTCCCAAGTGCCAGTGGACTGTAAGGCTTGAAACTCAGATTGCATAGCATCCATCCAGTGAGAAGACTTAGAAGCTTGGAGAAAGGTGGAAGGAGTAGGAGGTAAAGCTGTAAGAGAATCAACCGTGGAAGGAAGAATGTGTTTGGTGGCAGTGAACATTTTGGGTTTATGGATACCTGCCTTTGCTCTTGTAAGCATAGAATGAGTGTTGACTGGAACTGGTGGTGGTTGTTGAGGTAGAGAACTAGGAGACTCTGTAGGACTGAAAGATTCTGGAGGAGAAGGGATGGACTCGAGAACAGGAGAAGATAAAGTGTTGTGCTCAAGAGGGGCAGTGCGGCATTGAGAGGCATCTGCAGGGGAAGGATGTGTCACAAGAGGGGACATTGGCAAAGGCAGATTGAGAGATATAGGAGTGGGAGAATGAGGAGGCACACACGGGTCTGGAGAGGAGACTTGAGAAGACAACAATTTGTAAGGAAAGCAAGATTCATCAAACACCACATGTCTGGAGATGTACAGTCTATTAGAGATAGGATCCTAACACATATAGCCACAGTGATTCAGACTATATCCCAGAAACACGCACTGCTTGCTTTTAAAATCCAACTTGTCTCTTGAATATGGTTGCAACCATGGATAACAAGCACAACCAAACGTCTTCAGTGTATGATATTTAGGAGAAGCATGGAATAAGAGTTCCCAAGGACTGACTGTAGATGACCGGGAAGGTAACCTATTAATGAGATAGATAGCAGTCTGAAAAGCTTCAACCCAAAACCGTGCAGGTAGATCACTCTGAGATAACAAGGTTCTGCCCATTTCAACAACATGACGATGTTTTCTCTCTGCACACCCGTTTTGCTCAGGAGTGTGGGGACAACTCAACTGATGAACAATGCCTTGATCATTAAAAAAACTTTGGAAGGACTTATTTAGGAATTCACCCCCTGAATCAGACCGTAGACTCTGAACTTTGAGATTAAGCAGAGTCTGAATTTTTAAAATAAAGGTCTTTAGAGTAGAGAAGACATCAGACTTGAAATGTAAAGGATAGAGCCAACTATATTTGGTAAAATCATCCACTATTATTATATAGAATCTGTAACTAGTACAGGAAGGTGTGGGAGAGGGACCCCATACATCTGTGTGAAGCAATTGAAGTGGCCGAGAGGAAGTACAAGGTAAAGTGGAGAATGAGAGTCGAGAAGCCTTCCCTAGTTGACAAGCAGTACATACTGAAAGACTATTAACAGAACCAATTACAGGGAGATGATTCTTATTCACAACAGAATGCAAAATGCCACCAGAAGGGTGTCCAAGCCTACGATGCCAAATGTGGATGTCAGCCTTAGCAATCATCAGTGCAGTTGGGGAGATTGCAATTCCAGAAACACCATTTGAAGCATTCCAGTAGAAGGGGTACAAGCCTCCTTCACTGGGGCCCTGGAAAAGCATCTTCCCAGTGCTTAGATCCTTGACATAGAACCCCAACGGATCAAAGGTCAGAGAGCACCAGTTATCATGGACAAACTTGTAAACAGATAACAAGTTACGGGAAGCCTGAGGTACTAAAAGAACATCATTCAAACGAAAAGTAGCATGTTTGGTTCGAATGAGAGCAGAACCAGTATGAGAAATGCACAGACCTTTACCGTCACCAACAAAAAGCTGATCATTGCCAGAGTAGGGAATGGCAGAGTTGAGGGCAGAAGGATCAGGTGTGACATGATGAGATGCTCCACTATCAGTGAGCCAATAGCTAGGTGATGCAGAAGAAGTCATGGCAGACATTGCAGTAGGAGCTTGAGAAGGAGCAAACTGAGAGAGACGAGGACATGTAGAAGCCCAATGACCAAACTGGAGACAAAGTTGACACGGAACTGAGCGACCAGAGGAAGATGAGGAACCAGAATGCGGGCGAGAAGGACCAGAACCAAGAATGCCACCTGAGGGATTGGTGTTCCAATTATTAGGATTGTTACCACCAGAGGGATTGGTGTTCCAGTTGGTAGAATTGTTACCCCCAAAAGTTCGATTCTGAGTATACTGATTCCGGTTGTGAAATCGACCACGAGATTTGCCTCTGTGGAAATTGGCAACATGAGTAGAAGGTTGAGCAGCATAGGCATGAAAGGGTGCAGTGGAGGAAGAAGCAGCTCTGGTTTTGCGTTTTTGGAGTGAAATTTCTTTGCTCAGTAGAAGGCCATGGAGCTCATCAGCAGTCACAGATTCATTTCGAGTCTCAATAGAGTCAACAAAAGACTCATACTCATCAGGAAGTCCAGATAAAATGTATGCAACAAGATCAGACTCAGACAATGGTTCACCAGCAGCAGCAAGCTTATCAGAGATATCTTTAATCAGATGAAGAAAATCAGTCATTGAAGAGTCACCTTTCTGAATTGTTTGAATCTTCGACCGAAGACTATGAACATGAGTACGGGAAGCGCCTGAGAACCGCCGCTCAAGAGATTGCCACAAAGAGCGAGAGTCAGCCATGCCAATCGTTAAAGGAAGAAGATCTTCAGAGAGCGTAGAGTTGATCCAGATCATCAAGATCTGATCTCGCTCACACCAGGTCTCAAAAGAAGCATTGAGAACACAAGATCCAGAAGAATCACGAATAAATTGGGGAGGACACAGATCCTCACCATTGACGAGACCAAGAAGCTTGAAGCGCTTCAGCACGGGGATGAAGAGACTGCGCCAAGTGATGAAATTCTGACGATTGAGTTTCGTCGGAACCATCCCAGCGACATTAGCAATGGAAATCGTACCAATCGACATGATCGGAGGATTGGAGATGTCACTCTGAGGAGGAGTCGCCAGGGAATTAGGGTTTGGAGGAGGTGGAGGGAGAGAAGTCGAGGAAGCTGCTGCCACCGACATATCTAGATCTGAGGAAGTTGCTGCTGCCAAGAAATTGATAGAGAAAAAGAGAAGATCAAGAAGGTAGCGATCTGTTTGGAAGATTAGAAAACGCAAGAACTGCCAGAAAATTGCTAGAAGACGGAAGCGCCGGATCGGAGTCGGTTAGACGATGGTGATGATACCATGTTGAAGTTAAGAACTCAGAGAGGAAAGTTTAGTAAAGAGAGAGAAAGAGAATTGTAGAGAGAGAGTAAAAAATATATCAATGATTCTCATTTATTCAACAAACCAGTACAATGGTATTTATACATAAATATCCTATCCCAACCTATGTGCCAGCTCAGCATAATATATCTAACTAATCACAGA